ATTTTGATCTAGTTTATTATGTGATTTTCTTCCGCAGTTTCGCAGGTTTGTGTTCAGTGAATCTGCAGCTCATTCACTTCCTGTTTCTTTAGTCGTTGTGTTCTGAGACAAAATGACAGAAACACCAAACTGTGCTTTACAACACATCTAAATGACACACTTTTAATACACATCTGATACCATTTCAGTGCAGTAAACAACTAAAGTAGTTGATTATTTGACATGCTTAAACCTGGTTCTGTTCAACTTATTCCAGTTCAACATAAACCTATAAACCAGATCACTTCCATTAAACCTGTTCAGCACAATCTCTCTTATATTTCTATCTCTTACCTGTGAGTATCAGATGTGTCCACAACACTCTTTGAACGGATCAGTAAATATTCTGTTGTTTAAAGAGGTTGATCGTGTCAGGTGTCCATATTGTCGTTGATCAGTTTCTCTTTCTCTGAACTAGTGACGTCAGAGCTCCTCCGGTATTCACATATATACTATTTACCCTTGTTTCTCGTCCTTTTGGTGAAGATTCTGCCATTGCTCTCACGCTCTTTAATTGAGTTTTAAATTCATGTATACATTGATGGTGGGGAAACATAATTAGGCTACTTATTTTAAATCACAGTTGAGCTACACTATTTAGAATTAAAGAAAAAAATCAAGAAATGTAAACATTTTCAGGATTACTAGAAAGAGGCAGCCAGGTTTGATCGGGATTTAAAATAAATTCTGCAGGAAAGTGGATCTTGAGAGCCAAAGCAAACTCTGCTATGTTGTGCAACAAAATGACAGAAACACACAAAATTTGCTTTGCAACCAATCAAATGACATAGTTTTTATAAAATTCTGAAACTATTTCAGAGCAGTAAAAAATTAAGTTTGTTGAGTATTTGACATGTTTTGTTGTGTTCAACTTATTCCAGTTTGGCATAGGCTACTAATACTGTAAGGTCATAGTCTAATGTAGGCCTATCTGTTATCAGATTCCAGAACAAAGGCCGTGAAACTTCTAGGACCATTCAACTTGGACAACTTCTAGGACTAGGACTGTTTAAAATTACAACAGTGGGTTTTCCCTTTAACAGAACTGATTTGCTGTATTTGAACTGGGGAAAAATAATTTCCATAATAGTTCATGTGACAATGAGAAATGCATTATTATACAAAGCATTTGTATGCTCATCTGCAAGCTATTGTAGTCATTTAAGAAGATATTCTAGATATTAATAGAGTAATGAGAGATTTTTTAAACACATTAAAATATGACCTTTGATTCCTTTCTATTTCACACAGAAAGAAGCCGTCATTTCCAAAAATCTCCAGTAGAGGTCGCCACTCTCTCACAATGACTGCTGTTACCAGTGTTTTTGATGTGTAATCCATTGTCTGTGTATGTAATATGTCTGTATTAATACTGTCATTCGCCATTGTGCCTGCAGGTGGCACTGCCACTTGTAATTGTTGAATAAAGTAGAGAATGTTCTCTGTTATTTTTTTTTTATACCCAAGTATTTTCTACATGTTGATATTGAGAGACATAACAGTTATGTCAGATGTGTTGCGATCACAAGTTTATTGTTTTTGTGTCTCACTGAATCTTACCTGGTATGTGTTACTGTTTTGTTAACCTGCAATAAAAAAAATAAATAAATAAATAAAAAAAAGTTTATTGTTTTTATTTTTGAAGACATAATTTTATATTTTTTCTTTATAATAACAATTTGTTATTAGGAGTTTAGTTAGGCCTACACATGGAGTTGGGCAAATTCAATCTGATTTTCTTTATGAGTATCCAGTAAGTTGTTAAATTGGCAAACGGTTAGTCCACTTTTTCCTTTAAAAATAGTCTTGATAATATATTTTTTAAAAACATTTGCATATCCGCCTATGGTGTCCACATTTTCTGCATCATCCTGTGACTTGCTTGAAACATTTACAATACATATTATATACAGGCCTACTCTTTTGGCCCCCCTTCTTAGATTTTCATATTTTGAATATTTTATCCTATAAAGTTAGACACTATAGGATTTGTTCATTCAGGTCAATCCTTCAGAGTCGCTTATGTTTTAGCTAATGAATCACAAATCTGAGCTTCATAATCTTCTCTGTGTGCCTGAGAATGCCTGAATGGCTTTTTATTGTATAAATCTAATTTGCTCTATTTGACAGCAAACATTAATGACAGTCATGTGGGCCTATAAGATAAAATCTAGATGTCACAAAAATGCCAGGATGGTTTTCTGCAGAGATGTGATTCAGTCATCAGTTTGTTTGGTGAGCTTACTTGCATGGAAAATAAAGTCATGACTCATGAGTCGATACTTGAGTCACATCAGTCCATCCTGAAGGTCAGTGAGAGCACAGACAGGGTAGATACACATCTAATGATTGTGATGAAGTGCAGATAGTGAATGTGTCCTGGGTTGATACTAATAACTGAAGTTAGATGGTCTTTCCAGCTATCCACGAGTGTTTACAGAGATTTTACAGTATAAGAAAAAAAGCTAAATTCCAAAGACTGAGACAAGAGACGAGAAACCATGTTTAAAAAAAATCTCTACACCACAGCATTTCTGATTACTGAAAATTACTGTTATTAGGATCCATATGATCTGCAGAGGAAACTTCGGTACATCCCCTTCATGGTGAGCTCAAGAAGATAAGAGTGCTGTGCTAGAACAATAATGTCTGTAAATGGAGGTGTTGTTACTGGCTCTTAGACCAAAAGACTAATCTTTACCGTGTGATATTTGACCATTTTACATGAGTTTCCACTTGCAGGATATGTAGTCACAAAAACTGAGTAGCCTAAATGAAAGCAATTATGCATTAACACACAACACTAACACTTACTTCGCAAAACAATAGTTTAGACAAGCTAAAGTGTGGGACTATGTATAAGATAGCAGACAGTTCAGTTCAATAATACCACTGTGGGGTTTTTTTAATCATATTTGAGAGTTCTGTCAGCGCATGAGCCTATATTAAAAAAAAAAAAAAAAGTTTGATTTCATACTTTTGGGGAAGTCCAATGACCATGTGCATTAGAGACATGATCTCTCTCATGACGCCTCTGTCTGAACCACTGAAACTAGAAAAATGATGTATCATTACTCCGGTGTATGACGACTGTCATTCCTGAAAGAAGCACATCACATGATAATCATATTAATGTAGGCCTATACTAAATTAAATCTGGAAAATGACTCGCATATTTTGTTTTCCCTCTCATTAAAGATTCTCTGAAATCATCTTTCACCCAAAAGGCCACATCCTCTGATTACACGTAGCAGGCCTATCAGCTCTGCACGTGTGTGTCCTTTTCTGACGCCTATGCTTCTGTGTGGTGTGGTTTGTATTTTTCCTATTAAAATAATTAAATTATAAATCAATAAACCCCATACAAAATACATCGTTCTGTAGCTTAACATGTTTGTTTTTCTAATTGGCAGTTTTCCCCTTCTTCTGTTATACCACTTATGTATGACCTTACAGTGTTATTTCAACCCGGTCTCATCCCAAGACGTTATATAACTGACGTTTTGGGACGTATTTTGACCATACGTCAATATTCGCCTTTTTAGGGCCCCCTTAAACGTCGGTAGATGAGGTTATGGGATCCTAACTCTACCCCAGACCTAAACCTAACCCTAAACCTAACCCGTCACCTAACTGACGTTAAAGGTAAAGCGTCAGTTGTATGACGGCCCGGGATCGCCATCTAGCGACGTTTAAGGGGGCCCTAAAAAGGCGGATATTGACGTATGGTCAAAATACATCCCAAAACGTCAGTTATATGACTTTTTGGGATGAGACTGTGTTAGTTATTTTATTTATATAATTAACTCTATACTACTGCAACTTCTAAAACGTATGCAAAAAAGTAATAACAGATATTTTAAAAGACTATTTGTCCCTTTATTTCATGACACAGGTTTTATCAGTATTTCAGAAGTCAAAGTTCAGAGGAATAAGAAGCTTTTCAATGTGCATGAAGGGTATTTTCTCATATTGAAGATAGCTCTTAATTTATCTTAATTAAAAATGTTTCACTCATTTAATGTTACAATATTTAATTTTTGTCTGAAATAGTTGTACAAAGAATTGACAGTAGAAAAATATTAGTTTTAGTCTGATCAGTGAGGCTTGACACCATCTATCATGAGTTTCTGGATTGCAACCATCTCTAGATTCGCGAAATGTAATAAAATAAACAAGTCAAGTTGTCCTTTATGATTAGGAATAGTCAATAATATTACTGATGTTGAGAAATTCCACCAGATTTTATGTGAAACGTATCATTTGCAAGTGAAAAATTTAGGCAAATAGTAGATCTTGTCAAATCCAAAGTTGTTTCATGAAACTCTAGATGACGCAGAGCCGCAGGCTGATGGGTAACTTACCCGCTTCTCTACAGGGCACAGCTGATACCACCAAGACTAAACATATCAAAATTTTAATATCCATTACCATGCCAAACACTTAAATTAAGAGTCATCATAACAGAAACAGCATTATTCTCTACTAGGCATCTAGGCAATTACTATCTATTATCATCAAGGCAAAATGGTTTGCATGTGGTTTCTTTGCTTAGGTGGTGTGAAACTATCTGTGCTGTCTGTGTTATATATAGCATTCACATATAGGTGCTTTCTTAGAAGGGAACAGTGATTTAAGTGAAAGCATCCTTCGTTGACTGCAGCAGGAATGCTTCTAAAGGTCTGCTCAAACTTGTTATAAAGTATGTTAGTTCACACACTCACACAGAGGAAAAACACATGTAAGACTTTCAACTTGAACAGACAAGACTTTTAATAAAAGTCAAAGACTGATATGTGTACATAAATACGGCACTTTTCAAAATATGAGATACAGCATAAAATGCAAAGACATCCTTAAATGAACAAAGAGCACATTAAGATATGATATGCAAATGATAAGTAAATGAAACAATGGCAAAAAATTGCCTACTCAATATTGCAGACTCCCTTTTTAAAATCTAAACAGTTCAAATACAAACAGAGGCACCAAAAGCTCCATGACAGTCTTATTTCATTTACCTTTGAGAACTTGATTGCATGCTTTGGCACTTATTCAAATGGGAAAATACACCAAAGGGTGCGTACTCTTCTACCTCTCTGGTAGTTCTGCTTAACAAGCGTCAGATACGGCACATGGTGCCAACACGTTCAACCATATGGTAGTGCAGTCCATAAACAATAACACTTCAAACACACACACACACACAAACTCATGCCATCATTAAATAAAATTTCATCTTTTGTGAAAATAATATCAAGGCTGATACTGAGAACCATAGCTAAAGGGTAAAAAACCCTTTTAATACAACTAATAGTGAATTACCATAGTTAAACGTCAAATAATATTAAAAATACAACAGAAATAAATCGGCTTGAATTGAGTCCATTTCATGAGAAAGATAAAATATCTATTAAAGTATCATTGTACAGTACGTTTAAGCTGTGCGGACATTAAAATAATTATTTATTTCAAAACAAGTCCTGACAATTTTTTTTTAGTAAATATTAAGGATTTTTAACCAATGAGATGGAGCTACACTGCATTACACGACTCGGATGAAATCGCTTGTGGTTGAGGTTGAGATCTTGGTGTCTGAATCTTTGTCTTATCTAGTCTTTCAACAAAAATCATAAAGCCCCATCCTGAGACTGAAGGGTCAAAATCTCTGCTGCAAGTCTTTGTGGGTCGAGGAGATATGGGAACATGTCCATGGCCCTGTCCACCAAACGTGCATTGAAAATTGCGAGTAATTTCTTCCTCACTTGCTCCCGTTCGGACCACTGAGGACTGTGATTGGAAGGGGACCAGTGTCCATGCCCTCTCTCCGGCTGCATGCCATTGTGGGATGCCGGAGGATAGCCACTATAATGGTCGGACCAGTAGCCCTGGTGGGGAGGAGGCCCTCTGCTGTGTGGGAATGAATACTGGGACATGTTGGCGGGAGGGTAAATTGGACCTCCGCCGTAGGAGTGATAGCGGGGTTGACCGTAAGCCGGGTTTGGTGAGCTGCTGTGGTGCTGACCGGCTCCTCCGGCTCTCAGGGATTGGTAGGAACAGCAACTGCAGGGTTGGCTATTGGCCAGAACGTAGAGATGCCGCCCACCGCTGGATGGTTTGGACTTCCGTTCACAATGAGGGGCTTCATGAGAATGGCATTCGTAGGAACCCAAGCCAGAATCCATACACTCTTGAGATCCGTTGGTAAAAGTATCTAGGCTTGTTGGCGAATGCCGACGTTCTTTTTTCGAAGGAAACTTCCTTTGCGTTAGCTGGGGGGCTCCTTTAATGACAAGGACATTTTCACTGGCGTAACTCTTCTTGGAAGATTCGCACACGTCGAGGGACAGTTTCTGTTCCATAACTTCCTCCAGAGACGGATTTTGACTGGAAAGCGGCTGAGGTTTGTGCGGTGGGGACGAAATTTTGGCTTTCTCCCGAAGCTCGTCGGCCAGGGCACGTTGGGATTGCTTGGTTCGCTCCGGATGATTGAACTTGCACTTGAATCCGTAAGTGCACTTCTTTCCTGCATTGAAAATTGGAGAGTTTAATTCTTGTTGACAAATAATCAAATCAAATGAATGCACCATTGGGCTTAGCAACTAAAAATGATAATTACACCAACATGTGACCACACTAGTGATTGTACAGCGTCAATCATTCATTAAAGCCAGAAAAACAAAATTCTCACCATAAGGGCAGGGCTGTTTCTTGGGTACACGTGGGTTCTTTCTCAGGAAGTTGTCGAGGGTGGGTCCATGTCTTCCCAAAGGGTCATCTGGAGGCATAAACCTACAAAAAAGCAAATTGGAATTAATTAGCAGCAGGGCTTTTATTAAACAGCTTGACGTATGCTGTAGTTACCAAAATGCAACAGCGCTTACTTGTCATTGACAAACGAGTACATCAGAAGCCTCTCCTCTATAAAACGCTTCCACTCAGGGCGCTCTCCTTGCAGATCTCGGTAGGTGTCATTGGACACAATGATGCCGTCGGATTCGTAGGCCAGCTTCACGATGAAACGGTCATCATAGCAAACCACTCGTTTTCCGGCCACCCTTCTGGATGGTGTGAACACCAAGAGCTTCCTCCGTTCTAATTCCCGCAGAATGTGCTGATCTGAAGAAAAACATTCAGGAAATTTTAAATAAGTGTCACAGTTAGGGCAGTCATTTTGATGCTTTAAAGTGATAGTTCACTTTGAAATTAATTTTTGGTATGTTTTCTCTTACCTCAAGGGCATCCAAGATGTAGGTGTCTTTGTTTCCACATTATTTTTAATTTTGATATTTTTAGGTCTGTCAGTCATATAATGGAGGTCTATGGTCACCACCTCAAAGAGCAAGCACAGAGAAGTCCAAATTAAACATGATTTAATGACTTGTGATGGCCTAAGACACGAAACGAGCAGTTTGTCTGAGAAAACGAACAGTATTTATATAGTTTTTACCTTTTGTAATCATAGCCACGTCCAAGTGATTTGAGGGCGCGGGCGCTTTGTGGGTGTGGTAACAAGAGGTAAAACGATATAAATACTGTTTGTTTTCTCACACAAACCGCTCGTTCCGTGTCTTAGGCCATCAATGTGTACTTACATTTATGAGTCATTAAATCATGTTTAATTTGTACTTCTCTGTGCATGCTCTTTGAGGTGGTGACCATAGACCTCCATTATATGACTGACAGACAAGAACGGTTTGACCTAAAAATATCAAAATTTAAAATACTGCGGAAACAAAGACACCTACATCTTGGATGCCCTTGAGGTAAGATAAAACATACCAAAAAAAATTTTCACAGTGAACTATCCCTTTAACTTAGTACAATTATAAAAAATGTGACCAATAATAAAATGAACATATTTAGTCATGCAGCCTGACTTTTTGTAATAAGAAATTGGAGCATTTTAAATTTGAAGTAACATCTAAACGCATGTTTGCACTTTCTAAAATCAATTGTTTTTACCTTTATTAAAATAAAACAGTAAGACATATATGCATTGGCTATAAATGCATATGTATAATATATATATGCTTAATTATATATAAATTATTACATGATTAACTAAATGTATTTTTCCATGCACATTTCTGAAATGCACTTTCTGTAAAGCTGCTTTGAAACAATATATATTGTGAAAAGCACTATACAAATAAATTTGAATTGAATCAAATTGAATATACAGAGCAGGTTTTTGAAAATAGCAACGCTATTGTGAACCTCGGATGAATTTCTGTGAAATGTAAGCCAGGGATAGGTTTTTACAGTATGTTCGTGATATGGAAATAAAACAAACAATATACTGACTTCTAAAATCGCTTTATAACTTTTTTATTGCAATATAATAATTATGTTTTTTTGTCTGTCAAAATAACGTCCACAGTAAAAATATTCATATTTGATTGACCCGAGATTAACAGCATATCATGTTATTAGTTTGACATATTGGCAATATTGCTATTGACATATGAGATTAACATAATATAATTTGATTTTTTTGACATATTGTTATTGATTTGCAGCCAATGTTAGAACACACTGTTCAAACTAAACAGGTCTTGTTGGTATTCATTTATACTGTTGGACCAGCTGGAACAAACACCCCAAGTGAGAAGGATTCTTGTCATCTAAATTTGCTTGTGATATCCAATGGGCACGCGCCCCTTTACACAGCGACAGTTTATTTCAAAGGAAGCCGGAATTAAAACATACATTTATGCAATGTTTGCATAGTGAAATGGCAACAGTTGAGACCAAATTAACATCACAACTGCGTGGTTTCACGGTATTATTCCTACAACCACAAAGTTGCATTGTTTCCCTCTAGCTGGGTCAAACTTATTGAGGGATTGGCAAACAGGCTGGTACATTGGTACAAAAGCAGCGGTCGCATTATTACACCGCTCAACTGCGGCCTTCTTTGTTTTACGAGGAAGTAACGAAAGTTTTAAAAACCCAAGGTACTTGCCAATATATCTGATGACATAGCTACTCATTTTAGGGTTTTCCCATACTTCCAGTTCTATTATTTAACACCAGCGCTTAGCATTTGATTGGGTTTAAAACCAGGAATAAAAAACAGAACTGCATTTCTAGTGCTTCATGTAAACTTCAGTTGAAAATCATTCATACATTATTTGCTATCTATTGGCATGATCTGTTTCCTCTTTGTTTGCCATTTGGTTGCAATGAGGAAACAGACACTGCTTATGGGAATGTAATTTTGGACAGCAGGAATTGTTCCTGACACCAGGTGCATTCCCCTTCCCTCACCTGTGATGGGTACATCAGGTCGCGGCTGTTCTTTTCTCCAGGAAGGCACAAACACTGTGATGTCAACGTGACCCCGCTCCAGGAAAAAGTTCACTGCCAGCAGAATTCCCAGACAGGAAAAAACTTCCTTGTTCCCGTGGCTAAGAAACAGTTTAAAAAAAAAAAAGGTTTGAATTTGCATAATAAAATTGTATTGCATGTTCTACACACATTAATTCATTCGGCAGGCACTTTAATCCAACGCTACTTACAAGCAAGGAATATCAAAAACATTTTATCTATTAAACTTTTCATATTTAAAGGTTATTTTAGAGCAAATCAACTACATAAATGACAGACATTATGAGATCTGCTGAAGAAACCAGTTTATTTTCTTTCCTTACTAGTTGAGCAAAGGGGAATGCTAAAGTTCATTCAATTAAATGTTGTTATACTTCCTTCTAGATAGTGGCAGACTTGGTGCAAGTGTTATTTGTTTAAAATAGATATAAATAGATAAATAAGTCCACTTAAGTTTAAATCCAGACTGTAAATCAACAATTGGAAACTGTCTGTTTTAATGAGGTCATAAAAAGTGTCTGATTTACAGGAACAAAAATAGTACAAAGGTGGGCAGAGCCGTCCAATCAGACGACGTGTTGCAATGCAGTCGGGCCTGTTCATTTTCACAAAGTACCTTTCACAGATATTCTCCTTCAGGATAGAAAGAAGGAAGGGAGGGGAATGGAAACGGCACTTATTTGCATATAAGATTATTTGCATACTTGACTGATGACAGGTACAGGAGCCTGCAGGGGCAAATCTGGAGTCTACTTGCAAATGCAGGTGAAATACAAAGGGAAGGGAGGATTTTCAAAAGATCACAAAAATACTGTGAATTCGCTTTGGCAACATATGATCGAACTTCTCCAAATAACTTCCTAATTTGCTGGTCTGACATTTGGAATGAATTAATCATTACGACAAATTCCACGAAAAGAATTAGTTGAGCGGAGTGTCCAAATACCATTCGGTCTGTCCGATAACTTTTATCTGTTTCCCATTACATCATTGCCAAAAAAACATATACGTGCTGAAATAAGCATTCAGTCATGACTCATAAAGCTGCCCTTCACATGAGCACAAATACATCTCTGTATTCACAAAAACAGAAGGAAATGGACTCGATTTGCACATTTTTAGGAATGTGTGTGAGGAAACACTGGGGTTTATTAAATTACTGAATGATTGTAAAAAGCAAAACTACCGCACAAAGGATAAACATTTCTCAATATCGTTCCCTTAATTTTTAATCATCTATTTTACAGTGAACAAACAGACTTGGCCATGATGTAATGAGCATTCCTTGATTTTTCTATCATAACTATTTTACAAAGCCAACTATAATTAAAACAAAAAGTGTGCCACTATTAAAACATTAGCCCAACAGTGCAACTTTTTGCTAGACCATTTTTGATATTCCATTTGATGACGCTATAAATTGCAAAAAAATTGCAAACTTAAAGGAGTAGTTCACTTTTAAAAAAAACTATAATGATAATTTACTCACCCCTATGTCATCCAAGATGTCCATGTCTTTCTTTCTTCAGTCGAAAATAAATTAAGGTTTTTGATGAAAACATTCCAGGATTTTTCTCCATATAATGCACTTTACTGGTAACCAAACAGTCCAAAAGACGATTTTAGTGCAAACTGCAAACTGTTCAAAGGGCTTTAAATGATTCCAGACAATGAATAAGGGTCTTATTAAGTGAAACGATCGCTCATTAAAAAAACCCAAAATGAAACGAATCTTTTTCCGAGTCAATTCGTTCCAAATGACACGAAAAAAGGTTAATTTTGATGAACGTTCATGAACAGGAGAGTCACGAACGTGCATCACAGAACAGAGCAAGGCGACCATTTGAGCTTATAAAACCTTTTTTTTTTTTTTAAATGAGCGATCATTTCGCTTGATAAGACCATTCATCGTCTGGAATCGTTTAAAGCTCTTTGAACAGTTTGCAGTTTGCACTGAAACTGTCTTTTGGACCTTGAACCGTTTGGTTACCAGTAAAGTGCATTATATGGAGAAAAATCCTGGGATGTCTTCATCAAAAACCCTAATTTCTTTTCGACTGAAGAAAGAAAGACGTGGACATCTTGGATGACATGGGGGTGAGTAAATTATCAGCAAAAGTTTTTTTTAAAAGTGAACAACTCCTTTAAAAATATTTCAAAAAATGTAAAGAAAATACAGCCTTAAATAGAACAATATGTCCTAGTTCTAGGAAAACTGTTATCTAATGATTTTTAACATTTAAAATGTCCTGTGTTAAACATTTGATACAAAGGAAAAGGTCGTCCAAATTATAAATTTCAATTTAGTAATAGCAAAGGGATGGAAGGTGTAGTGTCATTGAAAGCAAGTCATGTACGGTAAACTCACCTCATGGCTACATTAGACCCATCAATGACTATAGGTCTGAGTGCGTCCTCATCCTCTACCAGCTCTTCTGGAGTACTTGACACTGCCGGAGCACTTTGATTTTGGGTCTTACTGGACCCGTCCCCACGTGGAACCAGCACCGGGGAGGCTGTAGATTCCTCTCTATCTTCAGATTCCCCAGCAGCCTGTATCAGCTCGCCCAGAACCCTGTTGGTGTCTGCGCTGAGGCCGAGTTTCAGGAAAGCGGCGCGGACCTGCGTCTGAGAAAACCCCAGCTTGAGGAACAGGTCGAGCTGAGTCTGAAAGTCAGAGCCCAGTTCTGAGGATTCATCTTGAGTCGGGCTGGGCTGAGCCGGGTCCATTCTAGCGTCACAGAAAACGGGAGGCTTGTACAGAGACGCAGGTGCTGTTACCCATGCGTTGGTGTTTGCGTCAGATTTGTGTGATCCTACGCTGCTGGATGACCAAAAGGAATCCAAATACAATTGTAAAGTGGGGATGGTGCCGATTTCAGCACTCATCTCTTCATCTGGAAAAACGTCCTTGTCAGTCACGCCTGTTTACAGAAAGCATAATGTTAGAGATAAGATAAATTAAGCATTTATAGTGAATTCAGATGTTGATTTATAACTTATAATATTAATAATCTGAACTAAGGTATCATCTACAAATCACATGGCAATACTATGTGGCAATCAGACTGATATTTCCAACATTTATGAATCTTAGTAGGAATCTTAGACCAATTAAAAATGACTATAATAGCTACAATTCTGATATGGTTAAAATAAAGACAAACATTTAATATTTTATTAAAATGAGTAAGTTCTATAAATAATTCGTGTATATTTATATTAAAACTTATAATGTATAAATATTAATAAATAATCATAAAAATGAATTAAATCAGTGACATCTAAGCAAACAAGCTATACAAAACAATGTATCTAAACTGTTACTGTACCTTTTAAACAGAAAATGTCATCTTCAGACGTGAAACTTTAGGCTTGACAGATATTTTAAAAATAGTACGTTTCTAAACTCATCTAGTCTTATATATTTTCACTACAACACCGACATCACATTATTTCATAGTCGTAATTCTCTTCATTTGCTGCGCGTTCCCGCATTCCAACACATGGACGCGCTCTGTCCCCCTTTTTGACCTCATCACTTTGTTTACAAAAGTTTTAAAGTTTATTTCTACATACTACTTGACAAAATAAGTAGCCATTAAACAGTTCGCTATCAGAGATGTCAATGACAACTTAAGAAAGTCAAATTCCGAATCTATCGTACTTAAACGCAAGTTAATTACAGATAAATAAGTTAAAACAGTTAACGTTACAAGCAGAACAAAAGTCATACGAACCTTTACTTTATCTGCTCTCTGTGTTTGAGCTGCTGTCTTATGGCAGTTAAGTTAATACGTCCATAAGTTTCACTCTTTATGTACCCAAAGCAGCCGCAATATGCTGAAGAGAGATTCGGCACACCTATATGTTAGAAAACCAAAACCAGGAAGTAAGTCACGCACGTGTTGACGTCACGGAGGCCTTTGGATTTTACCAGACAGTTCTCTTTTTCCTCCATTAAGAATAATAGTAGTGTTTACTGGCATATTTAACCAGTCTAAATTGGATTTATAAATATTACCCTTGAAATTATAACTTATAAACAGATCGTGATAATGATATATTTTGAGAGTTGTGTTCAGGAGCATTCGTTTATTTTTGAGTTGTCCTCATTCGGTTTGTTATGGCTCGAGAACCGATGTTGAGGGGGACCCTATGAAATTGTTCCGTTTATTATTATTTCTCTTCATTTAGTAAAGACCCTATAATGATATCAACTGTGTTTTGGAAAAGTTTTATTCATATTTTTTAAAGGAATAGCCTATATTTTAATGAACATGCTACAGCTAAATGTTGAACGTAAACAAGGGTGAAATAAACCTTTGTTTTTAAAGGAATACGTTATTTAAACACAATATTAACTTTGAAAAATAAGAAGCTGTAAAATGTGTTAAAATTTGTTCAAAATAAAAAAAAGGTTATCTGTGCTTCTTATTAATTTAATTTCATCGAGATGTGACATTTTGTGAGAAGTGTGACATTTTACATTACACATTTTATGTCAATTGTAAATGGATATTTATTTAAAAATTAAATATCCCATTAGAGTCAAGTTTCGCATGTCACATATGATAACTGATGTCATGAGAACTTTAACTTCCACTTTTTATTTCCACGAAACCTCATACCCATAAATCAATACAATGACCTGAAGAAACTATAGCCTAAAAACATCAATAACTATTTTTATTTAAACTCAAGACACAATAATTAAGAAATAATTTGATTTATGCCTAGCCTGTAGTGTTATTAATGTATTTTTTTTTTTGTAAACCTTTAAAGCAACTGGTCTACATTTGTGAATTTTACTTCATATATATATATATATATATACACACACACACACACACACACACACACACACACACACATGACAGTGAGAAGTGATAACTGAGTGTGTAATTCCTGGTGCTTTTGTAAATTCTCATTATTACTCTGTAGGTTATTATTTCCTCAAAACCACCCAAATACTACCTATGACATCTGGCTGATGTTATCTTCAGGTCAAGAAATACAAATGTCAAGTGAATAACTGTTAAAGAATCAAGCACATTTTGGTCTGTGTTAAAAGTAATTTCCTTTGTGGTTTCCAAAAAAGGGAAGCCCCTAAGTGAACACTCACTCAGACCACGGCTGCATAGATTGCCTTCACCACAAAGCAAGAATCTTTTCTTGACAAGCAAACAATGAATGGCAAAATACTGTGATGTATTGTTTATTTGTGTATTTTATTTAAGTGACAGGATGTGTTGCTTCTTTTGATACATATGCTAGTTTATAGAGATCAAAATGTGGAAGTGTTCAAGATTTAAGTGTTGATTATGTTTAAGATTTCCCTTATAATGTTTAAAGTAAAGGAGATGGTCGGGGTCTTGCGCGAACTTTGTGGCATTTTACCTTTTTAATAATTTTTCTTCTGGATTTTTCTGGATTTATTATTTTTGCTGGATGAGTATTTTCTCCCGGATGAGTATCTTCTTCTGTATGAGTATCTTCTCCTGTATGAGTATCTTCTCCTGTATGAGTATCTTCTCCTGTATGAGTATCTTCTCCTGTATGATCTTCTCCTGCATGAGTATCTTCTCCTGGATGAGTATTTTCTCCCGGATGAGTATCTTCTTCTGTATGAGTATCTTCTCCTGTATGAGTATCTTCTCCTGTATGAGTATCTTCTCCTGCATGAGTATCTTCTCCTGTATGAGTATCTTCTCCTGTATGAGTATCTTCTCCTGTATGAGTATCTTCTCCTGTATGAGTATCTTCTCCTGCATGAGTATCTTCTCCTGTATGAGTATCTTCTCCTGTATGAGTATCTTCTCCTGTATGAGTATCTTCTCCTGTATGAGTATCTTCTCCTGTATGAGTATCTTCTCCTGCATGAGTATCTTCTCCTGTATGAGTATCTTCTCCTGTATGAGTATCTTCTCCTGCATGAGTATCTTCTCCTGTATGAGTATCTTCTCCTGTATGAGTATCTTCTCCTGTATGAGTATCTTCTCCTGCATGAGTATCTTCTCCTGTATGAGTATCTTCTCCTGCATGAGTATCTTCTCCTGTATGAGTATCTTCTCCTGTATGAGTATCTTCTCCTGCATGAGTATCTTCTCCTGCATGAGTATCTTCTCCTGCATGAGTATCTTCTCCTGTATGAGTATCTTCTCCTGTATGAGTATCTTCTCCTGCATGAGTATCTTCTCCTGTATGAGTATCTTCTCCTGTATGAGTATCTTCTCCTGCATGAGTATCTTCTCCTGCATGAGTATCTTCTCCTGTATGAGTATCTTCTCCTGTATGAGTATCTTCTCCTGTATGAGTATCTTCTCCTGTATGAGTATCTTCTCCTGCATGAGTATCTTCTCCTGCATGAGTATCTTCTCCTGTATGAGTATCTTCTCCTGCATGAGTATCTTCTCCTGCATGAGTATCTTCTCCTGTATGAGTATCTTCTCCTGTATGAGTATCTTCTCCTGCATGAGTATCTTCTCCTGCATGAGTATCTTCTCCTGTATGAGTATCTTCTCCTGTATGAGTATCTTCTCCTGTATGAGTATCTTCTCCTGTATGAGTATCTTCTCCTGCATGAGTATCTTCTCCTGCATGAGTATCTTCTCCTGTATGAGTATCTTCTCCTGCATGAGTATCTTCTCCTGCATGAGTATCTTCTCCTGTATGAGTATCTTCTCCTGTATGAGTATCTTCTCCTGCATGAGTATCTTCTCCTGCATGAGTATCTTCTCCTGTATGAGTATCTTCTCCTGCATGAGTATCTTCTCCTGCATGAGTATCTTCTCCTGTATGAGTATCTTCTCCTGCATGAGTATCTTCTCCTGTATGAGTATCTTCTCCTGTATGAGTATCTTCTCCTGCATGAGTATCTTCTCCTGCATGAGTATCTTCTCCTGCATGAGTATCTTCTCCTGTATGAGTATCTTCTCCTGCATGAGTATCTTCTCCTGCATGAGTATCTTCTCCTGTATGAGTATCTTCTCCTGCATGAGTATCTTCTCCTGTATGAGTATCTTCTCCTGTATGAGTATCTTCTCCTGTATGAGTATCTTCTCCTGTATGAGTATCTTCTCCTGTATGAGTATCTTCTGCTGCATGAGTATCTTCTCCTGCATGAGTATCTTCTCCTGTATGAGTATCTTCTGCTGTATGAGTATCTTCTCCTGTATGAGTATCTTCTCCTGCATGAGTATCTTCTGCTGCATGAGTATCTTCTCCTGCATGAGTATCTTCTCCTGTATGAGTATCTTCTGCTGTATGAGTATCTTCTCCTGTATGAGTATCTTCTCCTGCATGAGTATCTTCTCCTGTATGAGTATCTTCTCCTGCATGAGTATCTTCTCCTGGAGGATGAGGTTCTTCTTGTTGAGAATGATGTCCCTCGTCTGAAGAGGATCCTTCTGTGTTTTCTTTTTCTTTCCCATCAGTCTCAGAAATGCCATCAACAGAACCAGGTATAACAACATCTTCACTGCTACTGTCAACTACTATCTTTGACCCTTCTCCTCCTAATTTGCCATTAAAATTGATAATTGTTTGGATGACTTTTGGACCAGGGAAGTCCATAGCAATTATACCTACACAGTGCGGTCTACTGGTGCCCCCTTTAAGATCAAGGAGATAATCATCAACTTGTTTATTCAGTGTTTTTGCAATTTCTAGCGGCTCCTCGTTTTCTCCTTTGGCCCCGGTGTATGTGAGCATCATCTCACGATCACACTTTTCTGAAGCTAACTTGATATTTTGCCTCATTTGTTTTTCTTTTGTATCCATGTCTGCATCCAATTCTGTTATATGAACAGGAAGTCCTAAGTGTAATGTTGAACTCTGAATCAAGACGATCTTCCCTCTGACCTGTCCCATTGTTGGAATCTTATCGTCTCTCCACACAGCAAATTTATCCTTACTTATATATGTTGTGGCTTGAGCAACAGCACCCTCATCTGGAGTCACTCTAAGCAACAGTGTCTCTGTCTCCTGTTTCTTAAGAAACGTCAGCAGAGTTCTCAGAACATAAGAAAGGGTCTCTGACTCCTGGACGCTTCCAGTCTTATCATACTTGATGCTGTCGGAAGACACATGCAACTCAAAAAAGCGTATGCCTGCATCCAGTTGGTTGTGCAGTCCCCATGCTTGAAACATTCGTGTGGATGTTTTTAAGCCTTTGCTGCTTTGGTGTGTTCCAGGGATTGATATAGCTGATAGAAGCTTGCTATCTTCGATTTTCTCCATCCATTTGTGATTGACATACTTGTAACTGAGAGTTTCAGAGCTGCTGACATGCTTCAACCCCTCACAAGTACAGATAGACACCCTGCAGGTAAAAATATATTAATTGTACGCACAATGATTCAATCAGTCTGAATGTTTTCATGTTTATCTGCACATTAATTGAAACAATGAAACTTACACTATAAACACAGAGAGATACTGAAAGTTTCCCATTATCCTTAGCTTCCTTCTGCAGGGATGTCTGGAAAAAAATATATAAATTGACATAGATGAAAATAATGATAAAGTTATTTAAAGATTATAGGCTTGAAATTAGTCTCTGAATATTTCAAGAGCGCTAAACACATTATTGAACATTACTGTAAAACAATTGCACAATCATTAAAAGCTAGTTTCACTCTTTTGACAGCAAAGATTACCTCACACTTCAACAGTTTCACATGTGTTAAAGTGCAAGAGTTTTCCATTTAAAAGTAATTTGCATTTAGCCACGTCATCCTAACCACATGGAATTCATATTTAGGAATGTGTTCAAACAACAACAAAGACGATTTACTTACAAGATCATGTGTAGAAATAAAGAATGTTTACATTGAATTCGAACCCTGGCATCGGACAGTTCGAGAAACCGAAG